ATTAATTTTAGTATTTATTATTTTCTACATTTTAAAAGTACCTCCTGCTGCAGAGCGGATCGAATAGATGTTTTAGTCACGTGACCGTAGAGCAAATTGGTTTCGTATAAGAGACGATGAGTTGGCGAAGGTCCACCTAGTCGCCAAATTTGGAGACTAGGAGAACTTTCACAAGACTGGGGAAACAACAGAATGCACACCCGCATAAGATATACAAACAGACGACATAACAGGTGCAAGTCATGATGATAATATGTTATCCTTCATGCCCTTTTAAAAAGAAATCGGCATACAAATCTATTGGTCTTGATGTTGATGTTCCTGCAGAAGAGTTAGCAGGGGAGTGGACAGAATGAGTCTATCAAGTTTAAATATTAATAATCACTAAAATTTTCATGTTTTTTAAGCAGAATTTACAAAAGTAGTAAAAACTATGTTCACTCTGTATATTAAACTATAGCTAAAGCTTCTTTCAATGCAATTAATTATTTGTATGATAAAAAAATTGATGTTATTGGAAGTTTGCACATTTTTTAATATATAGTGAAGTAATAGTTTTTATTACTTCACTAAATTTGTACAGAAACACAATTTATTTCTGAATCCATTTTTAAATTTGTATGGAATAATAGATATGGCTAAAATTAGTTGGATATGTATTTTTTAAAATAAAATACAGGAAGTTTCTATTCAGGTAATAATCAAATCAAAATTTAACGGTATAATACTTAGTTTACAAGATTTACTATTGTAAACGAGTGGTATCCAACCACAAGCACAATAGGTAATCACATCACTACGTCACTAATAATTTGATCAATAATTTTTGGTGCTTTTAATAAAGCAAATACATTCAAATAACGTATCATACAATATACGAAATATTTGAAATGTCTTTACTTGGAAATCAAAGAATGTAGAACTAGGTGCAACTTCAACAAAATAACAATCAAAGTAAATAGTTCCACTGAACCACCTTTCAGCTATTTTACGATCTCATTGTCAACATAATTGTTCTATCAGCATCTTCAATAGCCTACTTGACTCCAGAAAAAGACAACCAATCGCGTGATTATCGTGTCCGGTTTGTGTTTGTCGCCGCCTTTGGCTATTATTTCTCGGAGCAATCTGAATCAGATATAAAAATTTAAGATATAAGAAATTCTCTGAAAATATTTATTTTATTCTTCGTTTATTGCTGATTCTGAAAAAGAATAACGTATATACCATTTTAGCTCACATGGTTTTGACATGACAAACATTTATTTTCATTGTATTACAGTCTGTGTGGTAAGGCCATAAAAACTCTCGAGAAGTAGAATACAAATAATAATTATATGTTAAATCTAGAAAATATATTTGTCAAAAATTGCAACACATTTATTGAATTTTCCTGCTTATGCCTCTTTTGATGAAGGATTAGATAATTGATACAATTGCTTTTGATACTGGTAAAACAAAGCAGTCTAGTTACTTATTTCAAGATAATGAAGACGCACACGTCAAAAATAAATGAAAGGAACAATGACATGTAGGCTTACGATCAGTTTACATTCGCAAAACAAAACTTTAATTCTTAAACGTTTATCTTCATATTATTGATTTTTTCACAATACTGTAGAATATTTACATATCTTAGCATCTAAGATGACGATTATTGGTAGGAGGCTTGATAATAAAAAAAAATGAATAACGAAGAGATCTTTCGAAATACAAAATGCATTAATTTCGAACACGTATTGCACAACAGATGAATCAATAAATTCATGTATGCCATGTGCCGTTAAAATTACAACTACATTACCGAAATAAAACTTGTATTGCAAAATAAATATCTTTAAAAGCATATGATGTAACTGCAATAACAATATCTGCTTTATGTTCAATTACACGGCGCCATATTAACAACCGATAATTATCTACGTAATAACCCATTTTGTGATCATCACACAATGCATTTTAATATTTCTAGGTGCATTGTCTTATTATTATTTATTAACCCGAAAAAATATTACCACTTTTTATTCCTAGAGGAATTGTGTTGAAATTTTTTTAAAATATTCACAACCGAGGGAGAATTGTCGAATTTTAATTTAACTTTGAGTGGTATTTGGTAAAAAAATGTTGTATACAGTTAAATTTAATTAAATAACTATGTTATGTTATGTTGAGAATGTGGTGTTAATACACTGCGACCTAAAAGATCTATTGTGCCCCCTTCTGTCGCCACTGCACTAAGGAAATGTCTCAATGCCTATAGCGACCCATCCAATCCTATTTTCTCAAGGAAGTGTAGGATTTGAAGTGGCTTCAAGTTAGGTAAATCTCCCTCTTCTATTTGATATCCTCCTAGATACAGTGCCCTTGGATTCTGGAGTGCTACACATTCAGTTAGGATGTGAATGGAGGTTTCGTCCTCCTCCTCACAGAATCTGCACTCACTATCCTCTACTACTCTCAGTTTACTTAGGTGTCCTTTTAGTCGGCAATGCCCGGTAAGGATCCCTGTTACAATACATAGCCTGTTCTTGCTTAATCAGATGCAAGCTTCCGATCTTTTCTGGTTATATTCACCCAGAAGTATCTTGGCCTGTCTCAGCCCCAAGATATTGTTCCAATTATCGGTTCTTCTACTACCCAATTCTTTTTTAATCTCTCCTAATATTATGTTACTGCTGATACCGCAGAACGGCTCAGGTCCTACAAAGGGTGTTTGAGCCCCTTTCCTTGCAAGACTATCTGCAATCTCGTTACCCTGTACCCCGTTATGTCCCGGGACCCAAATGAAAGTAACTCTATTTTTCTCGCCTAGCTCATTCAATTGTTCTAGGCATCTCCAGACCATTTTTGAGCTGATTACGTAAGAACTCAGCGCTTTGATGGCTGCTTGACTATCGGACATGATGATAATCTCTTGTCTATGATAGTTTCTCTCGATGTTAAACTGGATACACTTCTCGATGGCGTGAATTTCCGCCTGGAAGATGCTTGGGTATTTTCCCAAGCTTTCGGAGTGCTTGGTTCTCGGCCCATACACTCCTATTCCAGTTCCTTCTATGGTTTTGGAACCGTCCGTATACCACTGAATAGCACGTCTTTCGGTTGCAAGCGCGATGGATTCTTGGTTCCACTCTTTCTTGCAGCCCAGCTCTATGGTTTTGAAGTTTTTCACAAAACCGTACTTCTTTTGCATTTCATCCTGGGGCATGTCCCAGGTATCTTTATTCCTGAAGCAAGTAGACTTTCGTCTGATTACTCCGTTCCTGATCATTCTATATCGTGTCCTTTTTGCCACATTCTCTATCATCAAATGTAGAGGGGTGAGGTTTAAGATCACCTCCATTGCGGCCGTAGGACAGGTTCTCATTGCACCAGTAATGCAAACACAGGCTAGTCTTTGTACTTTTGAGATATTAGCTCTCGTAGTAACTAAACTAGTTCTGTTACTCCAGGCTATAGCCCCGTAAGTGATGATTGGTCTCACTATTGCAGTATACATCCATCGCAGTATGTTTGGGTTACATCCCCATCGTTTACCTGCAATGTTTCTGCATACCATTAGGGCTTTTGTGGCCTTATTTACTACTTCCTTCTCATGTGTGTTCCAGAGAAGTTTGTTGTCCAGGATTAGGCCTAGATATTTGACTTCATTTTTCCATTCTATATCTATCCCGTCTAATTTAACGGTTTTGAGATTAAGTTTTCTTTTCCTTGAAAAGGCTACTAGTGTTGTTTTTGTAGGGTTTATACTAAGTCCCACTTCACGGCACCATCTTTTGTTATGTTCTAGTCCTCGTTGGACTATATCACACAGGATATTGCTAAACTTCCCACTAGCAAATATGACTATGTCATCGGCATAACCTTGACAGGGTATGCCGAGGTCAGTTAATCTGCATAGAAGTTCGTCTACGATTAGGCTCCACATTAGTGGAGATAGAACTCCTCCTTGTGGACATCCTCTGGTTGTGCAGATGGAGATGGTGTCCTGCCCTATCTGTGTCTCTGCAGTTCTCGTAGATAACAGCTGAGCCATCCATCTGGATGTGATGTTATCTACTCCTCTGTATGCAAGTGCTCTTTTTACAGATTTGTGTGGCGTGTTGTCAAAAGCTCCTTCTATGTCTAGGAAGGCACCCACGACCGTTTCTTTGTTTGTCAGTGCATCCTGGATTACATCAGTCAACTCTACCAGGGCAGTTTCTGTAGATCTTCCTGCTCGGTACGCGTGTTGGCTGTGGTGGAGTGGCACCCTCTCCAGGACTTCTGTTCTGATATTAAATTAAATAACTAAGTATTATCAGTAAGATTTTTCAAAGTATATATTTATATATATACATTGTTTCATTATAATTTTCTAGAACGTGACAAAGGCATAATTATTGACGTAGTAATATAGTAGGTATGTTTTGATTTTTTATGTTTTTGAAGTGTTTGTATTTCCTTGAGAAACGTTTTATTTAGTGAGAAAATAATAATTTTGGATAAAATTCTGATCAAACTCTGCCAAGTTTGTAAGAAATTGTAATATTTCGTTTCATTTGAGAGTTTATATTATAGGTTAGAATTCAAACCATTACCATACAACGGATGAAAATTAAAATGTATTGTAAATTATTTATTATTAAATATAAATGTTAATACAATTAACATTCATTGATTCAAAAACATACATTTTAAACGTAATTGATTTAAAAAAACAACTAATAAATAAAAAAAGTTATTTTAAATAAAGAAACATTTTGTAAAAAATTTTATTTTTATAATAAAACATTTTCAATAAAATAAAATGTAGGGACAAACATAAAAACATAAACTGCAGTTGGTGGTAAGCAAATACAATAACATTACAACTAACATTTTTTGTGATAATTAGTTAAAAAACTTTAAATTAAATTTCATCAATACAAAATAATTTGATGCAGTTCTTATTTTTTCACAAGAAAATCAAGTTAAAAAAATATTTAATTATTTAAAAATACAAATAAATTTTGTATAGAGGCAAACTTTAAATTAGAAGATTTAAAGACTGTTACTGTTTATTCTAAGATTCAATTAATTTTTTCTCCTAAATTTATATAAATATTCGACATTTTTCTCTGGGATTCATCTTAGAACCTTCTGGACATTTAAAATCGTACGCAAAATATGGTGAATTTATTATCCTTCCGAGTACTCTAAACTTTGGTGCTCCATGGTACTTATCTTTACCAAGCACCGTATCCTTGTCAGCCAATTCAGGTTCGTAGCACATATACGTACTGGCCATGATCCAAAATATTTGATTTGGTGTGAATTTGATACCGGGAAGCACTGGTTCGCCACCGTGGTCTCTTATCCAATTTCGGTAAGCGTTATATGCTAGATTTACTCCGTTAAAGTCTGCTATGTTTTCTTCAGTACTTGTCGAGTTGTCCTAAAAATATATTACATGAAATAGTGTTAATATATATTTAAAAATCCTTAGAAAAACATTTCAATAAAAAAGTGGCCACACTGTATACAGATATTACTTACTGATTGTCTTCCCTGTTCTATACTGAAGTCATCGTAGCTATTTTTAATACATTCTACTATTTCTCCTCGCTTTTCTAAAGTTCCGTTCGTCCAAAGCTTTTCATAATCATCATCTTCATTTCTTTCATACATTATGCTAAATCCATGCGTTAGTTCATGTCCTATCACTGATCCCAGTGCTCCATAATTCATATAGTTGGGACGGTGGAGATTGAAAATTATCCCTTGTAAAATTGGAGCAGGCAGTACTAAAATTAATATAATAAATAATTTCTATTGGATAACCCATAATATGACTTACTTAATACATTGTACTTGTACATGTAATAGGCATTGACCTCCACCTTGGGGTTAGTTAAGGTTTCCAGTTCATTTATCTTATGATGAATTTGCGAGTAAAATTTGTCGTATTTTGTTTTTAATGCCACCATCGCCATATCAATAGCAAGACCATTTTCCGGAAAATGTTTAACCTAAAATCAAAATGAAGAAACTGAAAATATCATTCGGGCAAGTTACATTCCCAATCTAGAATAAATTTGAGCTTTACTTATTTAAAAATAACATTTCAAACTATAAAACTATCCCACACTTGTTCTATTCCAAATCTAGCTTAGAGATCCCCAATCTTATATTGAAATGAAATTAATTGAACTCCAATCAGTTGCATGAAGTACATCTGCAAACCTTAACGTGATATATGTTTCCAAAGATAAATAATAAATATACATATTTAAATGATTTTATATGTAAAATACTGCCTCTCTTCGGCATTACTTAAGCAACACGAAATCAAAAGCGGATCAATAAAACACCTTACAACATCTTCTCCACTGAATATTGAACTTCTTGTAAAAATAGGCAATCCGAACTTTTTCATTGTAGTTGTAGCAATATGTGGCTATGAGAGTTATTATATAATTGTTTTCGTTAAAGTTTATCCCCTGACTGTTGTAGGCAAAGCTCACTAGTATCGGCCCAATCAACCGTTAAGGAGCTTGTTATCATATAGATGATTTTAACCAATTGAGCCTCTCTTATATTTATTGACACCTTATGGTGCCTGCATAGAACATTAATTTTGTTCTAAAACAATCCTGTACTAAGTACTCATCAACTAAAGTCAATCTATCGATCTTCATTAGATTGTTTAAGTACTATATACAAATCAATTGCGCGCTGGGCTTTGCTTTCACACATACCCAACACAGTACACGATATTTCATGGGGTGGTTCTCTTTAATCGTCGTATATGGTCGTCATTGTCCAGCAACTAAAGAGCTGCTGCATTGCTATGTAGGTAAAGTCTGGCTTCATACTTGCCAGCAAACTTTTTGATTTATTCTTCCACTGTTGAAATTGAAAGGTCTCGATAAAGGTCTCATTGCACACATACCAAGATGCGTTCACTATGTTGCGCAAAATTTGTTCTGAAAGTTTTTTGGATAGGCTTAAAGTTACTGTAACCTGGTTTTAGATTATTAATATTTTATTATGTACCAACGTTTTTGAGTTTCTTCCCAAGAGCCAATAGTGCTGTATATATGCTAATCCTTGTTCAGTTCTTTCCTTTTTAACATATACTTTCCATCGTAACTTGGTATCAAGGTACGTACCAAGGTACTTTGCATTCAGCTCCTGAGGTACAGTCTTTCCGTTAAAATTTCACAGTGTCTAGGTACACGCTAACTTGTATGCAATTCAAAAATTTATATACACGCGAAACGTCTTGACAGAGTAGGTGAGCTGTGTGCAGGCCGTTGGTGTTTACGCCGGTCGTAGCTAGGTATGGATTGAAATTTTTTGTGTGCTTGATACTGAAAATTCTGTTGAGATATATATGTTATAATTTCCTCATATTGCTTCAGGATATTTTTTTTTTAGTTTGTGAACCAAATCTTTATACCACATATTGTCAAAAGCTTGGGCAATGTCTAAAAATACTGCGATACCATGTAATACCCGGCATGTTCTATAACAGCTGTGATTGTATGTAATCAATAGTAAATCAGGTATTAATTTTTCTTCTATCAGATCTTAATATCTTAAACAGAACATTTTCAAATATATTTATTTGACACATTTGGTAAGAGAAAAGTAGGCTTATAAGAATTCGGTGAGTTCCTAGTTTTAAAACATTATTACCACTGCCACTTTCTAGCATGCATTAACATGTTTTGGTCTGTAAACTGCATTAAACAAGTATGTGAGCATGACCAATACCTCTTGTATGAAATTGATTCAATATTAAATCTTCGGATTAAGGATAATTTTAATCTTTTGCTACTTCTTTCGGTGTAACAAGGGTGTTGTTTTCGGATTTTTGATTGTCTACTCTGGTCTGATAAATGTTCAGCAAACAAGTCTGCTTTCTATTTATTGTCCCTGACCCATACTCTCTTATCTCTTCTGATGGGAGGGATGAAACTGACCTTATTAAAACCAGTTAATTCTTCTAATTTAGTCAAATTAAAAGCCACGTCCAACCATCCAATATAAGTCGTTACGTTTTCCAATCTTCTCAAAGCATTGGATCTACTGTGGATGTCTATCCATTGGGTTGATTTTATGGCGTCTTTCATTTCTGCTTTGATGTAGTCAATCATCGATTGGATTTCATGTTTTTTGACTGGTGTGGTGTATCTGCGTATATATTCAGATTCAGCAATCATTTTAAATCTACAAACAAAGCATGAAAGTATAAATTTTATAACGAATGCAATACACAAACATATAATACTTACAATCCCGTACTTAATTTATAACATTGATCTTTCCTTGATGACTCCTTTTTATTTTCATCGTTTGTCAAAATTTCATCATATTGGTCTCTAATTTTTTCTGGTAAATAATTTATGTTTGTTGATAGAATTATCCAAGCTACAAAATTTGCTTGATCTCTAAAAGAAAAGCAGATTGTAATGAATCAGTTCCATGACAAAATCGCTGTTGCCACATTTTCGGCTAACCTAAAAATGTCTCGTTTACACCATTTATTCCACTTACTTTTTATGTGTCCGGTGGAATAAATAATATAAATCTGTTAAATAATCGTCGATGTCAAATATTACTTTTTCTTTACCACTCAAATGAATTCCTGTCATATCTCTGAGGAAATTTAACCAGTCTACTTTCAGTAACTTATGATCAATCTCTTTTATAGATATTTTCGTTTTCTCCTTACTGTTTTGAACCTGTGTTTTGTTTTCATATTTTTCCGCAATCTAAAAGAGACAATACATTCTTAATCTGTCTTAAACCTACAGCTGGCGTTTTAATAGAGGAATAACTTTAATTTCCGCAATATGTCGGAAATTGTTGCGGAATTACGTTAATTTCCGCAGGTTTTTTTTGTTTACGATTAATTTAAAAAAACGTTAATTTCTACTTTTTTATGTAATATACTTACAACTCTGAGATTTTCGGCAAAAGTATTTGTAATACGAAGTTCCTGCTTCACGTCTACACTGTCAGCACCAAGTAATTTGGCAATATTGTGGATAAATTCAACACTTGTGTCATTGAAATGGAATGATACTATCTCAGTGCTTGATGGTGGTCTTAGCTAAAAAAAATATATAAACCGTTAATTAAAACAAAAGTAATAGGTGAAATTAAAAAAATGAGAGACAAGACAAGTAAGACAATAAAGATAGAAGACTATCAAAATGACAAATAGTTCCAAAATAAAAGTATATTCGTTATTTTTCAAGGTGTAGATTGTGTAGGTTAGAAAGAAAATATAAAATGCCTTAAAGTTTGCGCATGGCTTTATGTAGGTAATAATTCATGTTTTGTATTCAAAACAAAATGCCGTACAGAAAACAAAACCAGGTACGACATCGGAATTCATGAATAATACGTATTATGGATTGTTCTCTTACTTATACAATATGCAGAAGTTCAAAAAACGCAAACATGTAAACACCCAGCTAATTTGTCACAGCAGAAGTCCACTCGTACAGAATAATTTTAATATTGAATATATAAATGAGTACCTAATGTTATTAGAATATCTGTTTGTGTATGTAACCAATTTCATATTCTTTTAGTTAAGCATCATTTATATTCACAAAATGTAATTTTTTATATAAAAAAAATTGAGCACTGCTATGTTTATAAAATTCAATATATTGTAATGGTTCCACCCTGGACAAGTAGAACTATTCCAATATTCTACGAACACTAACGGCTGTGTCTCCAATAGCTTCCTACAAAAATTTCTCGAAAACAAATAGCTAAGAATAAAAAAAATAAATTTTAAATTTGAAAAAAGACCTTCCAGTTCTCTTCTTTCTTTTAACACTTCTTCTGGTTTCAGCTCCTGCCTCTCTATACCTCCAACTCGTGTTTTTTGATACCTTCTATTCTGCTTCCTTCTGCTCTACCTCCTGCCTTTTCTTTCACTGTCTGATTTCCTCGGCTTCCTCCTCTTACTCTTAGTCCTTCTGCTAAACTCTCCTTCCTGCTCTTTTTACATTTTTTCCTATAAATATCAAGCCAAAGAAAATTGTTTCTTACCCAAAGAAAGGACTTGCCATTGGTATACTGTTTGGTATAATTGTGATAAAGTTCAACACTGATGAAAAACTGATGGAACAGACCCAGTTTTCTAGCAGCTATCATGGGTTTTTTCCAGTCATAATTTGCTTCATTCCAGTTGGCCATCTTCAGTATGGGCCAGCCACCTACCACCTAAACAAAAATTACAAAATTTTATTTTACGAAAAACATTAGCATTATGCTGGATAAATATTAAGCATTTAGGAACACCAGTTATTGTCATTGTTATATATGTATCTGTAATGTGTGGAGGGTGGGTTAACCCACGGCACTTAGGCCCCACTAGGCCCATCGGGCATCCTCCTTAGTCGATAGGCACTTCCTAGCTCGTGAGCCATCCTACAGATTTAATGTAATTGACAACGTCGCCATGAGGTATTTCTCTTGTATTGGTCGATGTTAGTCAAGCACTTACATACAGAGGTGTAGATAACATCACATCCCGATGGATGGCTCAGTTGTTATCTACGAGAACTGCTGAGACACAGATAGGGCACGACACCATCTCCATCTGCACAACCAGATGATGTCCACAAGGAGGAGTTCTATCCTCACTAATGTGGAGCCTAATCGTAGACAAACTTCTATGCATATTGACTGACGGCATACCCTGTCAAGGTTATGCCGACGACATAGGTCCATTTGCACCACTAGTCGTTAAGAAATAAGCCAAGCTTAAAATGACATTTCTCCATTGACAGTCATTTTAAGCTTCGCTTGTTCTTAACTACTAGCGGTGCCAATGGCCCTATAGTCATATTTGCTAGTGGCAAGTTTAGTAATACCCTGTGTGATATAGTCCAACGAGGACTAGAACATACCAAAAGATGGTGCTGTGAAGTGGGACTTAGTATAAACCCTACAAAAACAACACTAGTAGCCGTTTCATGGAAAATAAAACTTAATCTTAAAACCGTTAAATTAGACGGGATAGATATAGAATGGAAAAATGAAGTCAAATATCTAGACCTAACCCTGGACAACAAACTTCTCTGAAACACACATGAGAAGGAAGTAGTAAATAAGGCCACAAAAGCCCTAATGGTATGCAGAAACATTGCAGGTAAACGATGGGGATGTAACCCAAACATACTGCGATGGATGTATACTGCAATAGTGAGACCAATCATCACTTACGGGGCTATAGCCTGGAGTGACAGAACTAGTTTAGCTACTACGAGAGCTAATATCTCAAAAGTACAAAGACTAGCCTGTGTTTGCATTACTGGTGCAATGAAAACCTGTCCTACGGCCGCAAAGGAGGTGATCTTAAACCTCACCCCTCTACATTTGATGATAGAGAATGTGGCAAAAAGGACACGATATAGAATGATCAGGAACGGAGTAATCAGACGAAAGTCTACCTGCTTTAGGACTAAAGATACCTGGGACATGCCCCAGGATGAAATGCTAAAGAAGTACAGTTTTGTGAAAAACTTCAAAACCACAGAGCTGGGCTGCAAGAAAGAATGGAACCAAGAATCCATCGCGCTTGCAACCTAAAGACGTGCTATTCAGTGGTATACGGACGGTTCCAAAACCATAGAAGGAACTGGAATAGGAGTGTATGGGCCGAGAACTAAGCTTGGGAAAATACCAAAGCATCTTCCAGGCGGAAATTCATGCCTTCGAGAAGTGTATTCAATTTACCATCGAGAGAAACTATCATAGACAAGAGATTATCATCATGTCCGATAGTCAAGTAGCCATCAAAGCGCTGAGCTCTTACGTAGTCAGCTCCAAAATGGTCTGGAGATGCCTAGAACAATTGAATTAGCTGGGCGAGAAAAATATAGTTACTCTCACTTGGGTCCAGGGACATAACGAGGTACAGGGTAACGAGATTGCAGATAGTTTTGCAAGGAAAGGGGCTCAAACACCCTTTGTAGGACCTAAGCCGTTCTGCGAAATCAGCAGTAACATAATATTAGGAGAGATTAAAAAAGAATTGGGCAGTAGCAGAACCGATAATTGCAACAATCTCTTGGGGCTAAGACAGGCCAGGATATTTCTGGGTGAATATAACCAGAAAAGATTGGAAGCCTGCATCTGCCTGAGCAAGAACAGGCTACGTATTGTAACAGGATCCTTACCGGGCATTACCGACTAAAAGGACACCTAAGTAAACTGAGAGTAGTAGAGGATAGTGAGTGCAGATTCTGTGAGGAGGAGGACGAAACCTCCATTCATATCCTAACTGAATGTGTAGCACTCCAGAATCCAAGGGCACTATATCTAGGAGGATATCAAATAGAAGCCACTTGAAGCCACTTCAAATCCTACACTTTCTTGAGAAAATAGGATTGGAAGGGCCGTTATATGTATTTAGATATTTCGCAGTGTATTAACACCTCATTCTCAACATAACATAGTTAATTCTCGTCGAAGACAAATCTTCTAATAATGAAAACGTCGGGCAATCGTAGAGGATATGCTCAATTAGAATGCCTGTAATCAGGCGCAGATTCTGTCTAATCATAGTCAAAGATTTGTTTGCTGTATTGTTGTCAGGATAACTGGATAACAGGATAAATGATATTTACCATTTAAACTAAGAATCACTGAAAAGATTTTTGCAAATGAATTTACACTTTAAAATAGATAATAGTTTAATTTACAGAATCATAAAATTCTCTACTCTACTAAATTGCAATTTAACAGAGCTCAAGTGAGGTATCACTTGACTAATCGAGCAATTTAATACATTTTAAAAAGGTGGCTCATATGGGAGAATGATTTACATTTAAAATTCTTAAGTTATGTTCTTTTATATACACTTGACGAAACCGAAATGGGAATGCCAAAATTTAATGATGTGATTTAGACTTTACACCATAGTCGTTCATCGCTTTCAGATTTGACGGCTCCTAAAAATTATTATCAAAAAAAAATTCAAAAATGTTGCATCATTTAACTGCAGCTCAGAAGCCGAGGACTACAGCAAAATTGGTCTTTAAGTAAAGTGGCTGCTAAATTAAATGTCAGTAAAAGTTGAATATTTTTCGTTAAGAAACGCTGGCAAGAAGAACAAAGGTTATGAAAATTTTTAAAACAAGGTGGTAGGGAAGGTCTGTTATAAAAATTAGAGCAATGCTCTTGAACAATATATCCGTCACCCGTCAAAATCTTTTTGGTATTGTTGTGAAAGCACGAGAAAAAACTTTATTCCCAGGACTTTTTAGAATAGCTCAAATCCGCTTGAATAAACTTGTAAATATATTCCAATCATCTAACAGCGAAAGACTACGAGTTTGTCGAAACTCAAGACTCAAAAAAAAATAAATATACTTACAGGAATGAATTTTAGCAAAAAAATCTCATGACAACCAAAGAGCGTTCACATTTAGGTTGCGCCGACTGTACTAAAATTTGTCAACACTAGTTACGCAATTTGTATTACCTCATCTAAAAGATTAAATATTCTCTCATCTCCATGCTTCTCAATCTCTTCGGTGTCCATGCAAGCTTTATAAAATTGTCTTTGGAACACCACAGTTCTTGGTAAGTCTGAATTATTTCTATCTTCTACTACAATTTGTTTTAACTGATTCGTCGTCAGCTCATTTAGCGCATACAGGCTGGTTGGATGCCCCTTTGAGAAAGCGTTTTTAACAAAATTTCCACACGCGAAGGCATAGAAGTCTTCGCAAGGATCTGCGTCTAGATCGACTGAGTCTAGTAGATGAACTGAGGCACGAATGCATTCTGGGTTTGTGCAGACTTCATTGTCTATAAAAAAATTAGAAATTGATGTCTTGTATACTGTTTATTGACCAATGTTGCTAACAGTTTTATTTATATATAACAACGGTGGTCTGAAAAGCTGGAGATAGAAATATGGTAGTCAGTGTTCATTCACATAAAATCCTATCTTAAATACAACTACAAACTTTCATCTATATACAACACAGATGCAATAGAACTTCTGTTAACATTTTTGAGAGATTATATTATAAAACTAAACCTTTTTTAATTACAAAAAGGTAATATTGGTTCACTACAGTAAGATGGATAGTTTTACAGGAATATCACTTCAGAAATTTAAACATAATATTCCAAAAATTTCAAGTTTTTATAATAAAAAAAACCTAAGTTAGTCTTGAAAACCAAAGTATATTTATCTAAGAGCCCTTTCAGTTATTTAGTTATTAAAAACATCGTCCCAATATTTTCGAAAAATGCAAAATTTTACCAACGGAGAACGCAGACATGCATTTTGTTTATTGGGTTTTGTAGCAGGCAATCATTTACTGCTCAAAGAGATTATCAACGAAGATATCCGAAGTTATGGAATATATTAACAGAATAAATATGTAGAGATAAAAACCTTATTCAAATTGCATGTCGATGGCGTAGAGTGAAATCCTCGTATGTCCAAAATAGCAAATTTTACAGAAGACAGATAAAATACAAATTTTGTGCGTTGCAGATAAAGGAGGAAAAATCGGCTTTCTATTTCCTCGAATTCAAAAATAGCTACCCAGGAGTGGTGTGTTTAATTTTTAAAACAGCCAGCCACTATTGTAATGATGAAAATTCATATAAAGTTTAAAGAAATACACAGAAAACAAAATGACTACCTGTATTTTTAAAAGATTACAATTGTTTAAAATAATGCACAGTTTGCTCCAAAAAATATTTGTCGATAGAATAATAAAATATTTTTTTTTAGTTAAGTGTAGGTATAATCTTCTATTTTAAGATTTAAAATAATTAATTTGAGAGTAAATTATTTCATTCAAGTCTATATTTTTTAGCAAATCCAAAAATGCTATTGAGTTTGTTGTAAGTGTAATACGAGTATACTTTTAAAACCGACTAATGCGTACTTGATTCAATGTTTCAAAGGATTCGATTAAATTTTATATTATTGAATTAAATTCAAATACAACTACTTTTACCTTAAGAATTAACATTTTCCAACAATAATTAAACAATTGGAATGAAAAACATGTGTACTTCCTTCAGAAAAGATTAGTGAGAACAAAATCACTGCACTTTGTTGCCAGTTGGAATTTGTTTTACCACTGCATTGGCACACAATAAGATGTGTGACACTAGCCGGAAGTCATATTAAATTATTATTTACATTTACAGAGATGCTGGCAGATTCGCATTTTCTAATAAACCCCGATCTTGTATTTTTTGTTTTTACTAATAGGGAGAGCTTAATTTGTATTGTAATTTTTGTGACGTAATTAGTGTCACAATTATAGCATCTATAAATTGAAATGGAATATTTATTAAACACATTGGACTTGAGTGACCTTTTTAAATGTACCTAAGTAAATTTTATTATTAGGCATATAAGTATATTTACAATCAGAGAAACTCGAAACAAATTGAGTGGTTTTCAATTAAATTAATTAAAGTATGTAACCTCTATATTTGTAATATTTTGAATTTTTTTAAAATATTGAGACCATTTTTTCAATATTCTGACATTTTACACAAACTTAATAATATAAAATGACATTTATGTAAATAAAATTTTGTTTCCACGGCTAACTTAGTTTTTGTCATACAGTTTTTTTGGAATACTACGTCTAAATTTAGCAATCATGAAGCGATATTCTTTGAAAATTATCAATCTTATCGAAGTGAACCAAGAATACCTTTTTGTCGTAAAAGAGGTTGAATTTTATAAGTATGGTCTCAAAAATAATAAAATGTAAAGGACAAATTTTTTCATGATTTTTTTACACCACTCTCTCCTGGTTGTGACATCCCAGTTAGAAGAATACATTTTTTGAAATAGTTTTCATATTCAGAATATCAATTTTATAGATTGTCCTAAAAAAGGAGGCAATAAGGAACTATCAGTTTATTTAAAATATTTAAAAAAATAATAAAAAAAGAATTTAAAAAATTCAAAAAATCAAACTTATTGTTTTTTTTATCATTTTTGCTTTTTTGCGTTATCTGAGCAGAGATAGGTATAGGCATTGCTTCATATAAAAAGTAGACTAAATTTCCTTTAAAATGGTGTGTTAAAAAAGTTTATTTCGTTAAAAAACGGAGATATAGCTGCTCAGACCGTTTTAATTCTCATATTTCTACATCAAAATTGATTTCTATTTAATAAAAAAAATATTTTAAGTTAATATTTTAATAAAAATTCAATATTTTTACGAATGCGTAAAAATATGAATTGACTGTATCAAAGATTTTGCTCAATAAAATAGCTTGTGGATGTATTACATGTTGCCACAGAAGCTGTAGTTGTAGCAAACAATGCATGGATGTCAATTGCTAAAATGTATAAGAGACAGAGATTACTGGAGACGACGTTCTTGAAGACATAGGCAAAGAACTCGATATCCAATTTGATAACATTATTGAAGAGCTATGAAACAATGAAAACATTAATAATTTTGTATAACATTATAACTTGTATTGTAAAAAAGACAATTATATTTTAGATCGTAAAAAACAATTTTTAAGAATAATTAGTGACTTTATTTATAAATCGATCACAGTTTTATATATTCGTAAAAATGTTAAATTTTTTTCACCAAATTAACTTAATAGCTATTTATGTAACCAGTTACGAAATGCCTTATTTTGTGTAACGAGTAAATATTTATTAACGAGTTACACAAAACGGCGTTTCGTAACGTGTTACATACAAGGATTTTTTTTAATATATATTTGATTATTTATAAAATTGTGTTTGGTTAAAAAATGAAAATTGTTGTATTTGATTGTCCTACATTTTTTTTTTCAATAGTTATAATAAAAATAAGGGAAATGTGCAGTGTTGCCAATCTAATTTTTGACATTACCCGCGGGAAATTTGAAAAAAGAAAACGTTTTTATCCGTTATTTTTAAAGGAATACGTCAAAAATATACCTCAACATTTCTGGGCAGTTTTCAAAAACAAGTGTTCAATTATTAAAAAAATAAAACTCAATTTTTTGTTTTTTTTTTTAGTTGTTAAACGTATTGTCAAATGTGAAATGTCACTATTTATTGTCTTTTTTCGATTGTTGATTTTTCGATTGTTGATTTTTCGATTGGTGATTTTTCGATTGTTGATTTTTCGATTGGTGATTTTTCGATTGTTGATTTTTCGATTGTTGATTTTTCGATTGTTGATTTTTCAATTTTTCGATTTTTTAGATTTTTTCGATTATTTCAATTTTTTCGATTTTTTTGATTTTTTCGATTTTTTCGATTTTTTCGATTTTTTCGATTTTTTCGATTTTTTCGATTTTTTCGATTTTTTCGATATTATCGATTTTTTCGATTTTTTTCGATTTTTTCGATTTTTTCGATTTTTTCGATTTTTTCAATTTTTTCGATTTTTTCGATTTTTTCGATTTTTTTGATTTTTTTGATTTTTTCAATTTTTTCGATTTTTTCGATTTTTTCGATTTTTTCGATTTTTTCGATTTTTTCGATTTTTTCGATTTTTTCGATTTTTTCGATTTTTTCGATTTTTTCGATTTTTTCGATTTTTTCGATTTTTTTCGTTTTTTTCGATTTTTTCGATTTTTTCGATTTTTTCGATTTTTTCGATTTTTTCGATTATTTTCGATTTTTTCCATTTTTTCGATTTTTTCGATTTTTTCGTTTTCAATTTTTTCGATTTTTTTTCGATTTTTTCGATTTTTTCGATTTTTTCGATTTTTTTCGATTTTTCGATTTTTTCGATTTTTTCGATTTTTTCGATTTTTTCGATTTTTTCGATTTTTTCGATTTTTTCGATTTTTTCGATTTTTTCGATTTTTTAGATTTTTTAGATTTTTTTCGATTTTTTCGATTTTTTCGATTTTTTCGATTTTTTCGATTTTTTCGATTTTTTCGATTTTTTCGATTTTTTCGATTTTTTCGATTTTTTCGATTTTTTCGATTTTTTCGATTTTTTCGATTTTTTCGATTTTTTCGATTTTTTCGATTTTTTCGATTTTTTCGATTTTTTCGATTTTTTCGATTTTTTCGATTTTTTCGATTTTTTCGATTTTTTCGATTTTTTCGATTTTTTCGATTTTTTCGATTTTTTCGATTTTTTCGATTTTTTCGATTTTGTTGTAAAAAATAAGAAATAAAGGTAAACGCGATAAAAATCGAAAAAAAAAATAGATAAGTTTGACATATTGCTTTTTGGAATTCTTTTTTTTTTACATTTTTTACATTTTTTTACATAAAAAAAATTAAATGAAAATAGGCTAATTTGTTATTATAAAATAAAAAATATTAACAAATTTGAAAAAAACTCTCCAGCGTTACCTCGTAAATTATGTATAAAAATAGTTATGAAACGTGAATTGTGGGAAAAACACTTTAAAGTTTTGAACACTAAAAAATTTGGAATAAAACGTTTATAAGCGAGTTTTATCGGTTTATCTTACACTGAATCATCGATGCCAGGTCCATAAAGGATGTTACTATCATTCATGATGTCTAAAGCATCTTTTTGCTCCTGTCTACGACGAATCCTCATTCATGAGCGATTGATCCACTACTGATTCCCATGTCTTGCATGTAGGTTAGTAAAGCTAAAAAACATGCCAGGCCAATGCTACACTAAATTATATATAGTACAAGTACTAACATGTTTGTACTTGTGTTAAAAATTCTATAAAGAAAGGTAGGAGGTAAGGTTAGGGATCATATAGAGAGCGAAATAGCTGCCAGGCATGAGCGGCTCCGAGACGAATTTTCGGTGGAGGCCATTGCCTTTAGCCATTCTCTTTTTAGTATATTTGTTTGAATAAATGGCTCATAAATCGTAAGAATTTTCATCTCGCTCCCTCTGCCAGGTCCCAATAACGCGGGCAGGTATTTTCTGATGCGCTCAGTAAAGTATGAGGCGCGGTTAATCAAACCGCTGTGTCTTCGTTAGTTTTGCTCTGATTCATCTCAAATTTTCACACAATATTCTTTAAAGGTTGTCCATTCACAAAATCAAATATAAAAAAAATAAAAAAAAAAGTTTAAAAACTTTACTCCCCGCTTAAGAAAAATTCAAAATTTGAAATATTTACATTACTGGTTTCAAAAATATTGTCAGACAACCATCTTCTCTTGTAAGGCGTTTTTGGAAATATGTTTATAGAAATTTCCGGCCATATTTTTGCCTGTATAACACACTGTTAAAATATTTACCTCCTAATTTTGGAACATCCTGTCGAAATCTAAATAAAGTGTATTAAATAAATATTATATGTTAATAATATATACCCATGTAAACTAACCAAAATATTTGGATACGAAAATTTGCACTGAATTCCTTTCCTTTCAGTGTCAGATTCCAACCTATGCATCACTTGCCAGACTCTTAATTAATTAATAAATAAAAGTTAAAGGTGAAGGTAATCTAAAAACAGTTTCGCCAGTCTAATCAATTAAACAAAAATAAAATTTTCAGAAATGTTTAGACAAATCGTACTCATGAAAATTATAAAATGTATTACAGTTCATCCATATCATTTTATATAGCAGTAATTCGTTTTCTATTGGGATCTCACCTAATTAGTGCATTTCTTGACAGCTTTTTCTTTTCATAGCAACAATTGGAAATGCCGGTGAGACTCCTTCTTAAGACAAGGAAGTACATATTATTCCCCTTATAACCTCATGATTCTGTGTAATGCCCAAATAAGACTTAATCTTAAATACTGTTCACACATTTAGTGAACTGCTGCAAAGATAAACACTAACCTTTCTTGAAGTAATTCAGGTGCTCACTATCCGATTTTTAAACACCTCCGTATATCGACAATCAACGTGTTATGTTGATATATTTATGATTTATGCTCTTCCAAACTATTCCCTTTATTATTTTTAATTCAATTTTATAATGAAGAAAATTCTAAATAGAATGTTTATCTATATTTGGAGATATTAATATGCTATTTTTTGGCAAACTGAAGTAATAAAAATTAAACTATATCATAATACAGTAAAAAACTACTAACAGAATGATCTGAATATTTACATAGACCTTACTTTTGGCCCTTTTGTAAATTTCTCCTCTCTATCCGTCAAATCATGTGCAACAGTTATTTTGAAAGTTGTAGAATGTAAAATTCTATACAATTTATGTCCTTTGCAAACAAAATTTGCAGTTACGATTTTAAGAATTCGTGTAATTTAAATTTTTCGAAGAAAAAATTAGAATTCACTATAAAGAAAAGTTAAAATGGGCATATTAGACAAAATAATAAAAAGTCTAAGATCTAAAATAGATTCGAATAGTATATGTTACAAAATTTTACCCAAATTCATCGCATAATTCAAAATTTTTGTAAAATACATGATGAATTAAAAACCCCTATTTTAAATGACATTTTGTAAGTTCTAAGAAACGTTATAAAGCTCTGTTAGTTTAGTAATACTATTTTAATCTATCAGGGTGTCACTTACCGTGTGAAGTCAAGAAACACACAAACAAAACAATTATTAGTACAACCAAGAACGAAACGCAACACAAAAGCACCTTCTCTAATTTACTTTTTCCATAGTACCATCCTTTAATTTCACTCCAACCCATATCACATTATTTTCTAAATCGCATTTAACCCGAAAGACGAACAGTTTATTAGGTGGGTTGTCTAAATTCACCTAAACAATTTTAAATTTTCTAAATGGGTCACAATTATACCAAGAATCATCTTCTATGAAACACACTACTAAAAATTACTCATCTCTCGTTGCCTTGGTTACAGTTCACACATAATTAAAGTAATTAACTGTGTTACGGCAGGCTAATATATAGCAATTTGGCGGGTACTTATTGTTAACTATTGTTTTATAGCTGTAAAGGTAGACTGAATATTATTTATATACTACTACTGTTACTGAAGGCATTTAAAAAATTGTAATTTTAATTATTAATAATTTATTTATAGAAATATCTTCAATGTGTGTAAGCTGCAAAAGCTTTCGCCTTGATGCGGCTATCGAGGGTTCTACCTTTTATCTCAGGGAAGAAAAGGCTTGGTAAATAAATAATATTAAATGATAAACTTTATTTCTAGACTGATTAGGTTTTATTTTTAGCAGGCAATCAACTCAAAAGAATACTATCAGTATAAATCAATAGGTAACTTACTAGTTACTAAATACGGTAAGGACCTCCAGTGAAATTATAAGGGATATAAGGGTCCATTCTGTAAATTTGGTTAAAATTAACCATAGGTCATAAAAGATGATAAGATAATAAGAATGTTGTATTCTCTAGGTCATAATTTGGTTTAAATTATAACTTATGTCAGTTATAAATCTATGCTAAAGTCGAAACTTTACCGGTAAAGTATATTGTTACCTTGGCAAAAAAAATTAATGAAAATGGCTGCATTACAGTACATTACATGACTTAACCGAAAATACGTAGAAAGTAAGTTATGTTGCCAAACTACAGACTTTTAATTAAAAAATGTATATTATGTTCATCTATATATCCAGTTGTACCTTGCACCTTAGCTGCTTACACAATACCCAGGTAATTTGCTAACAACAGTTCGGGGATGATGATTTAATAATTTAAGAGAAGCCAGAAATGTAATAGAAAGTGTCAATGTAATATTAAATTGAAGGTTTTTATGTTTACTGAAGCATATAATCCACTAATGTTAAAATTGAATCACTTTTAAGATTTATTGTGATTACTAGTTATTCTATCTACTTGTTATATGTGTTTGAGCTCAATTGATAGGGCGTGGGTTAGGTTATTTAATAACTCGAATAACTTTTGAAAAAAAAGTTGGGCACCACCATATTTAAAGCTTACTACACTTGACTCTAGATTAGTGATAAAAATATAGAAAATCACTAACCACTAACAAATAATATTTAAACCATGCTTTAGATAAGGCAGCTATCAAATTCTAATTCACATAAGTTTTACTAAATTCAAATTTAAGATACTGTGTAATTTTATATCTTTGCAATACAATATTGTCTTCCAATAAAACACTATTATTTTCTTTTTGTGTACAATAAAATCCTCAAAATGAGTCAGAAAAAGTGGAAGGTTCCCATAATTGTGGTAAACCAGAGGGGTCAATTAAAAATGATTAACCTAATTCTTAAATGTCAATGTGAAAATAACAAATAATAACAGCAAACGCCCAATTTATGATTAAAGTAAAGAGAATATTATGAAAATAAAGATTAAATTTTTATGATTAACGGTACTTTAAGAACTCTTGGAAAGTTATCAAAAAGTAGGACATAATAAAAGGTGAGCTAAATTCGTAGTAAGAAGAATAATATTGAATTTAAATACAATTTCTATTTAAATACAATTTCTATTTAAATACAATTTCTATTGAATTTAAATACAATTTCTATTAATTTTGAATACAATTTCTATTGAATTTAAATACAATTTCTATTGAATTTAAATACAATTTCTATTGAATTTAAATACAATTTCTATTGAATTTAAATACAATTTCTATTGAATTTAAATACAATTTCTATTGAATTTAAATACAATTTCTATTGAATTGATCACTCATATATATATATGAGAGTGCCGAAGGACCCAAAACATGTCTATTTGAAGAATCCTATCATTCTAAAATCTTGAGAATTGAGTTTTTTATGTATTCAAAATGACAGATCAAGCTCAAAAAAACTCAAAGATTATTTGTATATTTCATTTAACACCATTCTGCAAAACAGGAAGTATGTTGTTATTATTATTGATGATAAAAACACTTTGTCTTACATCAGCATATAGCTATTAATAAAACAAAAAATGACATCATTAAAAATAATAGAGATAAGATATGTCAACTCTTGGCTTTTGGCCAAAAACTCTCTCTCTCACTCCTTTTTCAACTGCTTTAGACAGGTAATTATGGATGATGTCCACTTGAAGTCCAGTTTCAAGTGATAATATTAACGAACCAGTCTTCGACTTCTTCCCTGTTCAATAGAAGAGCCTAATCGTTGTCCTGCAACTTAATGACCACTTAACTCTTTTGTCGCTTCTTTAAGCATAAATATATTGGCTTCGCAGTAATCATTGGATTGATTATAAGTATATTCATATCTGAGAGACACACCACATTAAAATGTGTAAAAGAAGTGATGAAAATCAATACATAAAACCTCTTTTAGCCTCTTTGACCATTTCGGTCAGTGATTTTAAAAAAATATCAAAGTAAAATAATTCTTAGTATTTGCCACGTTTCAATTCAAATAAATTTGTTAAAAATTATATTGGTCTATGTCAAATTAAGACACTATTAGTTTTATCTCAACTAGTTCTACATGATTGTCTCTAAAACCATTTTATGAGACTTTACCCAGGATAGGTCCAATTAAACCACATAATTCTATAAAATATATCATTGTTAAAACACAATACATTTACCAAAATAACATTGTTATAACACAACACATTTATCAACAGGATTCATATAACTTCCGTTTTGACAACCAAAATCTCCAGCAAAATATTTAGAATTCCTGTACGATCCCAAAATCCTCTTGGACGGTTCCAGATGACTCAATAAGAAGGTACCGTTTGTGGTTTTGTTGTTAATACTATCGCACATCGTAGCAGCATAGCTTATCCAAAAAAGTTGGTCAATTTGGTACTTCAAACCCGGCAGTTGGTTGATTCCTTCGGCTTTTGTTCTTTTGAAGGCTTCGTATGCAATGTCTACTGAGGCGTAGTCTGCGAAATTTTCTTCGAAAGTTTTTATACATTGGGTCTGAAATGTTAAAAACCTAATTCAATACGGATATAGTGTTAATTCCATTATTGTGCAAATGATTTATAATAATGCTAATGCTGTATAAAGATGGATAATTTTTTATGATAGCTTTATAAACTTTTGTCCTGCTTGATATTTAGGAACATACTTTTAAAAAATTGCCCAGATCTTCAACACTTTGATGAACCCCAAAATTTCTAAAATTTTTATAATCTTTTCTTATACGTACATTATTTGTGAATTCTAGTCCATCCATTTCTAAACACTGATCCATTAGACATTGACTTTCGTTCAAGAAAGCTTGGAAGCTTGAATTTGACCATGTCATCTTGGACTTCTCTTGAAACGGATCGTATGTGTCCAATATTCCAAACGCGTGTGCTAATTCGTGAGCTATTACTATACCCAAGACACTATAGTTACGAAAATTTAGACCTTTTTGGTAGTCGAATACACCTCCTATGAAGGCTGCTGGTAAATCTAAACAAAAAGTATTCAAACATTAGGAAAATTAAATATGAGAAAAAAAAATTTAATTAAATAATGTACCTAAACAACTAATAACAACAATTTTGAAACGTTGAATTCCATCCAAAAATAAGGAATTAAGAGGAGTTGAAAAGCTTTGACGAATATCAAGCTCTTAATTTATTATATTCTCAAGGGGTGACTAAAATAACAATTGATTGTAAACTTTAGTTAATTGTAGAGCTTTCTTTGGACAAGATAGAAAGTATTCTACTATAATACTATCCAACCCTAGTGCTTGGGCGGGTCCAACGAAATGTTTTTCTCAAACTTATGAGACAGATATTACGGCTCATCTTCTTTTTAATTAGCGAAAACTAAAAACACTTTCTTAGTAGCATGTAATAAAAAGTTATGTTGTTTGTTTTTCCAAGTTTTTGTTAAAGTATTTAGTTCTACACATTAGCCATGTAATTGTAAAAGTTTTTGGATTAAGTATCTAAATTATAATTTCTCATGCATTCTTTTTAGTCATTATTACCTAAAACATTTTTCTGTAAATGGTGTATCAGTACCTAATCCTTCTGCTAGTAAACAGATTTTTTTATAGTCAAACTTTAACGTTCCTGAAAACCAGTGGCGTTACATCTTTATTTTTCATATCGTTTTTGTTCATTTTTAGATTTGTTTACTCTAGTAGACAATTAAATATATGTGAGGTCCTAAAGTGACGGATAAATTCATTTGCGACCTTATTATTGATTTGAAGAGAAAATCCTGAAACAGGTTGTTTTTTAATTTTAAATAAATAATTTTTTATGTAACAACTTTAACCTTCATGATAGATACCCCTCTCGGTGGAGTAACTGCTCCTCTCATTTTTTTAAATGAAACAATACCTCATTTTAAAGGGTTTTTATTTCTCTATTTAGCAACTTAGTGGGTTTTAATTCTTAGATATCCCATATAAAAAGAATGCTTTTAATTTTAATTTTAATATTTTTAACATAACTTTAAACGAACATAATTCAGAGCATACTAGGATTTGCATAACAAAGTATTATAGTACAGTATCAAGTATCCCCCTTAAAAACAAACTATCTACGCACATGGTCAAACAAAAAAGTATATTATATTTTTATGGTGTAAGTAAGAAGGAACAGTTTTTTGAATCTGATTTGTTGATTTGAATAAATTTTAGATATTTATAAATGTTTTACAAATTTATTACATTCGTTTTAATATTTTCAACATGAGACTTTCTGAGACACAAAGAATTGATATCTTAATAATAATTGGAGTTGGTGATAAAACAAGAACACATAATGAAGTATGTAGAATCTTTAACAATAAATATCCTGTCATATTTCTCAGTCTACAATGAGGAAAGTAAAAAAAAAATCCGCCTGTATGGAACAGCTTAAGATCTTCCTAAAAGTTGTAGAACAAAATTGAACGATGAGATTAAATTCGACATATTAAATATTGATGATAATCCACATAAACCTACCACTCAAGTTGCAGCTGACTGTTTTCGTGTTTTTAACAAAGGAAAATACCGCCCATATAAAATTAAATTGGTGCAGGAACTAAATGAAGATGGTCCTCACCCTCGATTGGACTTTTTACAAAAATATGATAAATAGATACCACAAAATCCGATATTTTAAAAAAATATAATTTTTTCTGACGAGGCAACATTTACTTTATATGTAACTAGAGGCAGCTCGTAGCTTAGTCTACGAGAAGGCTATGGAGACTACTGTAGAATACAAAAACAAAAATATTACATTGTATTCTAATAGAAACAGTCTCCTCGTAGACGAGCCGCCTCTGCATGGAACAGTCAACAAGCACAATTGTCGTTATTGGAGTCTAAAATCCAAATTGGATGGTGGAAGACCACACTCAATATCCTATTAAATTAAACGTTTGGGATGCAATATTAAATGATCGAATTTTCGGGCCATATTTCTTTGACGTCACATTGACTGGGGAGCGTTATTTAGATTCCTTACAAAAAATTTTAATACCAGAGTTAAAAAGACTTTGTCCTGATGATGTTGACTCGAACTAAATAAATAGAAACGTAATCAGCAAGATGGAGCTACACCACATTATGCAGCAGCAGTAAAAGCCTAGCTTAATCAAATTTTTCTTAGTAGATTGATTAGTCGACTCGGTGAAATTGAATGGCCTCCTCGTTCTCCAGACATGACCCACTGGCCAATTTTTATGGGGTTATCTAAAATCAAAGGTCTACTTCAACTGACCGACCAACATAGATGATTTAAAAACCAGATTAAGTCATGAAATTAAACAAATCACCCCAGAAATGTTACATAATGTTTTACAAGAATTTTAACAACGTCTTTTTTATTGTCCAAAAATAAACGGTACCCAATTTGAACACATGCTCTAAATTATTTTCATTTAAATTTGTGTCGAAAATATTAAATTGCACCAGTCACACCGAGAAACGTAACCTGAAGGGTAAAGTTGTTACGTCAAAAATTTTTAATTTAAATTTAAAAATCGACCTGTTTCAGGATTTTATCTTCAAATCATTAATAAGGTCGCAAATGAATTTATCCGTCACTTTAAAATCTCACTGTAGTATTATGATTGCTCATCCATATGTTAATCGTACCACAAAAATTTTCTCAATAGACGACTTCTATACAAGGGAAGTGCAACCAACTTAACAAAATAAAATATAAAGAGGCTGTTTTTAGTTCACTTTTTGGTTTTTTTTTATCTACTCTTATGCCATTTACATACCATATTGTACCCGTAAGGTAAAAAAGACTTTTTAGTTTAGGGTATTTTACATTTAAATGTGTCAGTGTCAACTGTCAATTATGTTGATGGTAGAACACATGCGTAATCATATATGGGCATAACGTAACTAGTATTGTATATGGTTGTATAGTGTATGGAACTTGTATTTGTAGCAGCAGCATTTTTGCAGTGACATAAATATATAAAACCAAATAAAAAAAATATTTAAAGAAACCATAAATAATAGACTATTAACAATAAAAAAATAAATCGCAATGCAACGCTTTTGTTTTGACATTATCGACAGCTGATATTGACAAATGTCTTCAACCTCTAAATGTAAAATATCCTAAAATAAAAAGTATTTTTTACGTTACGGGTACAATATGGTATTTAAATGGCATAAAAGTAGATAAGAAAAACCAAAATTTGAACAAAAATACAGCCTCTTTATGTGACCCGATTTCTTATGTCATTAGTGTCAATTTTATTTTGTTTAGTTGGTTGCACTTCCCTTGTATAAAAGTCCTCTATTGTGTGTTCATTTGTAAATCATTTAAACAACTGGTTTAAAATTAGAATCTTTACGTTTAGTGTTTTTTGTCATTAAGATTTTTATAAATGTTAATATACATTTTATACAGTGTGTTTCCTAATTGCGTACATTAAATTTAAGAGTGTATTTCTGGGCTAATTTCATGAAAAAAAAGTCCATATAAACATGGGTCCGGAAACGCTTTGTTCTAAAGATAGAAGGTGTTTTTTTTTAAATGTCATTCAATCTATTTTTTTGATATTGGGCAGATTTATTTTTAGTGATAAAAGCCTGTTTTAGCCCTAACTATGTTAAAATTATTATGTCCACTGCCGTCCCGGGGGTTTCTTTCCAATTATTTTTGTTAAAAAAATTTACGCTATTGACTTTTTTGTAATCTAAAATTGAATCTGCCCAATATCAAAAATAGGTTGAATGACATTTAAAAAAGTCGATTTAAAAAAAAGTTGAAATCCCTGTATCTTTAGAACAAAGTGTTTCCGAACCCATGTTTATATGGACTTTTATTCATAAAATGAGCACAGGAATACACCTTTAAATTTAATGTCAGCAATTAGATAGTAAATAGAAATTTATATTAATACTGTAGCCATGTGTAGGTTAATTATTATAAAGGCAGAACAACGAAAATAAGTCATTGCAATCTAACAAAGATATGTATTTTTTTTATAGAATATATATGTTCTAAAAAATATAAAAATTAACAAAATGTTTGGAGAACGAGTTAATAAAAATATTTTTTACTAATAATAACTAATTTTAGGTCCTAATTAAAATACTAATCAATTATTACTAACACAAAGTTAACCAGATTAATATACAATATGTCTCACTAAGTTGGAACCATATGGAAAACTTTTTTATTATTGGTTTTATGAAAAACTGTATTGTTTATAAAAAGTTATGCATGGTCCAAAACTTTAAATGCAACCATCAGATGTCAATTTTTTTAAGCCGTATGCGAAGTTTGTCGAAAAATATGATTAAAGAAAATGATATCTGATGGCTGCATTTTAAGTTTTGGACCATGCAGAACTTTTTATCATGAATACATTTTTCACAAATCCAATAATATTTTTTTCTATATGGTTCTAACTTAGTGAGACATATTGTATAATAAGAGATATAGCCATTGAAAGTTTTTAAATTATCACCCGGTGTAATGTAATTGGTTGTAGGTGAAAATCATGCATTTTTTCAAAGAAATTCCCTCTATAGGCACACAATCCGAAATCTAATCAGCAATTTAAACTATAATCAACATTATAACTTACATATTAGATTATCTGGCGGAAGATATTTCGTAGAATGAATATTCACAATGCCTTGATACAATCTAGCTCTCAGATCGGTGATTTGCTTCCTTCGCAAGTTTAAATTATATTTGTCACGACTTTTGTCCACTGCTCGTACGATATCCAGGGTATTGTTGAGGTTCAAAATGTCGATCTAGATTAAAAGTTATCTGTAAGTTTAAATCGAATTCTATCTGATACTCCGCTACGCCGCAGTTGATTTATTTATTGGAATGGAACGTCTCTTTTGCGAAAAATATTGAAACTTTTGCTCGTAGCGTTCGAAATTGAACAATTTGAAATTAATTTATCGTTAATTGATTTGACATTTTTATTCCATGCAATTTTTGGAAATGTGAGTATAATCCTCAGCGGCTTTACCAATTGGACCATCGTGGCATATAGCCACGACAACCGGATTTGTGGATTTCAACTCTCACTGACACACTCTCCCCTCCGCTCCGGATGTCTGTAAGGAGAATTAAGAGAGGTGGGGAAAGGGGAAAGTGTCGTAGCTAAGTGCCATAATGGTCTAATTGGTAAAGGCGCTAAGGGAGGATCCAGGTTCGATCCCAGGTTTTCGCACTCTTTTTTTATTTCTCATCTTTTTCCAATTTTCTTTGGTTTGTTTTCATTTTTTGGGGATAAATGCCTTAATTTTGTAGAGGGAATTGGGGTTTATATTTTCACATTTTCGAAAATTGCATACTTTAGTTTTCGGATCTATAACCTATAACCTTCTTTGTTGTTTCTATTCCAAATTATTAAATTTTCCCATGTAGTACCACTATTATTTCCGAAATTTTTTTCTAGAATATTCACGATCAAGAACATATTTTCGGTTTAATCTCTTGTGTGGTATTTGATAAAAAAAATTCACATAAAATCTTACGATCTTCAACAAACATCGTTTTTCTGCGAGATGTCCTACACGTATTCCTTCCTATATGGCTAGCAGTTATGTTATTAATGGCAAGTTTACCTAACATTATGTTACATTCATGATAATTATAATACTAAAAACTTAAATTACTTTAAATGTCAAATGTAAAAGAAAGAATAATTTGTTTAATTTTGCGAAAATTTATATCAAATTTACAAAATGAATTAAATAAACACTGATTATTTATAATTATTAATCAATTTCTCTATATGATTATAGTGTCAAAAATTGTCCATTATAATTTTCTACTATTTACCTGGGTTGCCTAGTGACGCTGGATAAAATGCGGATTTTATTGATTTAATAACAATGGTGTGAAATGGCTAAAGAACAGACAAATATTTTTAATCGATTAAAAATAAAACGAGTTAACCAACAAATTAAGAAATCAATCTTGTTATTTACCTTGTCAATACCCAGAAATTCATCAAATTTTCTGGTATCGAATACTTCATCAGGTCCTCCAATCATAATTTTTACTTTTTGCAATTTATTAAGGGCATATGCTTTGTGGGTGTGGTTCATCCACTTGGATGCGTTGATATGATCGTGCATAATAATTTTGATATTTTTGAAAATGCGTTTGACTGTCTCTCGGTCTGGGGCATATTTTTGAGCATAAGCTGATTCTGATACGTAGGCAAATCTAAAAAAATACTTTTTAGTAATAATAGTGTATAGGTGTATCATTTAATAGTATTAATAAAAGAAAAAGACTCATGTTTGAACCTTGAGGCATATTGTAGAAAAAATAATAGTATAAGCTGAAATCTTTCAAATAGTAATTAAATTCAATTTTTTATTCACTAGTTAGATCTTAGTGTTCACAAAGTTATGAACAACTTACATTGTTTCTGATATTTTAAAACAAAAAAGGTTTCGAGGTAAATCGGTTTCATTTTTTGTAACGAGTTTATAGGCCTCAAATTCTCTTCTGATATGCCTTGGTAAAAATTGGTATAGATTTTCAGTTATTTTCCATAAGATATAGTTAACCTTAGTCCTGAAATAAAAAATATGAGAATTAATGTAGTATTTAAAAATATTTTATACCTATTCTAAACTAAAACTGAATGATACATTTATAAATTAAAAAAAAAATAGTTTTTTAGGGATTATTAGGGATTAAACCTAATCTAAGGTTTTTAGTAGCGGTACTATTAGTATTACTGTACTAACTTGTATTTTTCCTTCAAAACAACGAATGCCATATCCAAAAGAAAAATCGTATACAGAAAATTTGGGGAAATTAAAAACCAATATTGATGATGATAATAACGCAGACATTATAAAAATCATGTTATAGATACATCTATTTTAAAACTAACTTATCAACATTTTTAGCTTTAGCTTTACCTCGGACTATTTTTTTCTAAAAACCTTATCAATCTTGGAAAATAGGAAATGGCTCCTTCGATTGTAGCGTTTTCTTTAATATAGACATGCTTAGTTAACGCATCCCACGGTAGAGAAGGAAATCCTATTCTTAATTCTTCGATCGAAGTTTTTGAGTAAGTGTTACCGGACTCTGAAATAATCTAAAAATTTTAAAAACATTCAGGCTATTCAAGTTTATATAGTATTAATAGAATTGTAATTTAAAGTAATAGGCATAAATTCATAAAACAAAATAGTTTTTAACAGAAGAACAGAATTGTAAAACAGATTAAGTTAGGTTATGAAGCAAATTAGAACCAAATTAGATAAATATAAATAAATTTAAACAAGGGTTGGTATATCTAAGGCAGTTGTGATATAGGTCCAGATTATTGATGAGGGGTCACTGAGTGGAAAAAGTAATCAGGTTAAGTTGGCAACATTTTTCTGTTCGTTTGCCGAATAACAACAGTTATTAATTGTTCTGCAATAATTATATTATAAAAACATATAGATCTACCTACTTATTAGGTACAAATTATGTTGTAAAAGTGGACGTTTATTTAATTAGTATTGTTCAATATTTTTGCTTGCTTGGGTTCTTGATTATCAATTTTACTATTTTCACTTGTTGTGCTATTATTGTTGTCTTGAGTTCGTGTTTGACTGATGATACTTCATAAAATCCCCAATGCTTGTTTGGTGTCCATCACAAGCACACTGTGGCAGAGTCATTTTGTTCAGTTGAGGATTTATTGCGGAAATATTATCAATGATAAAAATATAACTGATGATTGCCTCGATTAGCTCGAGTATATGAAACACTCTAGGTTTTGTCAACCTATGTCGTCTATAACAATCATCATCAATTTCTTCAAACCAATTTTGTTAAGGATTAAGAATTTTATCAAGAATATCTGCATCGACATCTAAGGAAATTATGGCAGTCTTGGGTAGTAGTATTTCCTGCTTAGATCTAGCAGCCTTGATATATTCAGTAGTAATACTATAAGTACTTCAAAATAATCAGGTTATACATCGATAATTTGTTGCATAATTATAAAGAGTGTCAGTTTGACAGTTTAAATAATCCGACCGCGAAGCGGGAGGATTATTCTGTCAAACTGACACGATTTGTAATTATGCAGGAAGTTTGAGATGTATAACCGTATTTATTTTGAAGTACGTATTGTATTTGATAAGATTATTTTTTGAGTAAATTAAGTAAATATCAACAATTTATTAATTTAAATACATATTGGTACAATGAAAATTACAATTATTAATTATTGATAAACGTCAAAATTTGACGGTCCTGTTAGTTAGTGTATTGTTGTCGATGTGGTTACTACGGAAATGAAATTATTGTAAATATTTTTGATTGGTGGAGCTACTCTATGTATAATCAGGTATTATCGAAATTATACGAGGTAACTTAACTAAATTGAACGTTCTAATTGGTTAAAAGTTATACGAAAAAAATAATCATTATAATGACAATATTATGGATGATTTTAGACCTTCATCTGAATTAGGGCGTGGTTCAAAGCCCACTTGTACTGAAGCTCTAGGCTTATTGTACCCCTCACAGTTTCTATCCCATCAGATTGATTTTCTTGATGAATTCAAGAATATGTCTGATGGGCGCTTTCGCGATTTCTTTAGGTTCCGGATATTGTACCCCGAAGTACCATTCCCGTTCCCATTTAAGGTTCCGGCAGTGGCATAGTATGTGAATAGGAGTTTCGTCCTCCTCTTCACATATTCTGCATAGGAAGTCATCAGATATCCCTAAGAGATTTAGGTGTCTTCTAAGGCCGCAGTGTCCCGTAAGGAGTCCTATTACGGCCTTGAGTTCGCTTCTGCTAAGGTTTAGCAGTTGATGTTGTCTACTCGTGGATGGCCCCTCTATGAATCTTTTGGACTGTCTAAGTCCAGGAAGTTCCATCCAGAGCCTATGGTGTTCTCTTTTTATTTGTTCCTTTAATACCCATTTAACATGTTGGTATGAGATACCACATGTGGGTTCTGGTCCAATAAGAGTTTTTTCCGCTCCCTTCCTTGCTAGGAGGTCTGCTTTCTCGTTTCCAAACACTCCCTCATGTCCTGGCACCCATTCAAGGGTAACCTTGTTATGTTCTGCCAGAGCCTGGAGGGATTGTTGGTAATCAAATATTGATTTAGATTGTACTTCTACCCTTTTTAGTGCTTTAAGGGCTGCCTGACTGTCTGTCATGATAACGATTCTCTTATCTCTAAGAGAGTCATTTAGCATGACTTTGGCGCAGGCATTTATTGCTGTTACTTCAGACCTTAGTTACAGTCTAATCGTAATTAGTTAAAATTTGATTGGAAACAAAATCCTGCTGAATAATTTTTCTAATGAGTCTGTTTTTGCCACACCAAATGTTTCTCACAGTATTTTCTATAATTTTTGCATTACAGGGATGAAGTACATCCTCAGTCAATTGTTTTTATATGTACTTACATGAGCTAGTGAATTTTCAAATTCGACTATTGATTTAGCTGCTTCCGAAATATAATCCAAGCTATTATTCGCCCTCAGTATTTTTAAGATGTTTTCTATAAGTAACTGATAATTATCTTTATACTGTCTTTCAATCTTGTTGGCAGTTTTGGGTGCTGATATCTGAAAATAATCATTTCATCAATGTTAATAAGTGTTACAATTATTAAAGACATATTAAGAAAGATAATATAAGTAAGTTGACAGCTATATGACGACGATTATAACTGACAGATACAGGTAATGGTTTTGTAGAAAGAAGTTTGTTTTGAAGTGATAGTAATCGATGTACCTCAGCTATAATACATAACTGTAGTCGCTTATTAATAACAAAATTCCAAACTGAATTGATCGAAAGCAGCGTCACATGACATATAATATTAAATAATCAAGTTAAAGGACATTCTCAACGCAGGTCGATGTATATAGATGGGAAACAGAATCCCGATAGTCAAGAACTTTTTGTGATTACTTTAGAAACAATTCTTTTATTAATTGAATGTTTTTCTAAAAGTTTGACTATTACAGTACTTTATCTAGAATGAAATCACTAGATACGTTTGGATACAAGCAATACATGAATTTATGTTATTATAGCTTCTATTTTTCTACTCAGGTTTTGCAATCCTTCAGTAAACTTTAATAAAAATATTTATATTCATACTTTAAGGATTTAAATCCATCTAATATAGTAACGCTCTTGAATTTTAAGATCCAAAACGGCATACTACCCTCCCTGGCCCTCCTTAATCCACAATGAGTTCCAGTGAACTCATTTAATCAATTAAAAGTGAAAACGTCTACTGTAACATTTTTGAAAATTATTGTTATCCTTAAATATAATTTGAATTTGTTGACTCGAGTTCTAAGTAATATTTATCTTACAATTTTTTCGATGGCAATATTTCAGCTGCAAATTGGTTGTTAACTGTTCTCAATATCCAAACGTAAACAGTAATTTCAAAATAATAGTCTGGGTAATATCGCGAAAATATAATGAACATTTTTATGATACATTCTCCACATTTTGTAAACAAAAACAAAAATAATTTAATTTGAAATGTTTACTTGTTTCTTCATTAAGATACGGTCAGTATGTAAACTAACACTGATGTTAAAAATAACATCAAGTTACTGGCGCGTTGAAGCGATATCGTTTTCTTTTTCAAAATCCATACATACATACATAATTATATATGAAAACGTAAACGCATATCGGTTGAAATAATAAACATAAGTTTTCAATTGAATAAACCATGTTGATGAGTTTATGACTGAAGTGTATCAAATAATATAACATTGATCAAAAATAGCGTAGTCAGAAAATTTGCTTTGAATTAACTGTAATACGTTCCTTTTTTTTATAAATGTTTGAATTTTTTTAATGGTTATGATCCTGTCGAACTTTTGAGATCCGATTTTTGTATTTTTGTAAAAATATTTTTCTGATGGTATATTGCTATTGATAGAGGAAAAATTAAAGTTATAAAACAAAATTATTGTTAAAAAAAAAAGTGTACATAAGGCTGTTCATGTAGTACCGACAGTAACAGAAATTTGCAGAAGAAGATTATTATTTAGAAAAACATTTAATTCATTTTACTTAAATTATTGGACATGAAAATTTATAAAACAGTTTCTAGCCTTGTTCAAACACAAAATGTGACTCCTGCCCTTGCAGCCTTTATTTTTGCGCCTGGTAGCCTCCTTGTTTACATCAAATTCAGGAAAATGGCGAACATTAGCCATCTGAGTCGTCGCCATTGTAACTTGACAAACCGGGCCCTAACCTAGTTTTCCAAATACCTTTAACCTTTCCTAAATTTCGTCTAGTGGATGCCCACGAAGTGATGTTAAAACCCCCAGAATTACGTTTAGAGTTCAATGTAGCTGTAATGGAGGAAGAACAAAGTAAACATAGAAATTAATTTTGAATACTGTTTATTTAACATCTATTCTTTTGTACAGCCGGACATTCAGATTATGTGCCGTTTTTAGGCTTAACATTATGTTTATGTAGGCTTTCCAATGTGTCATTTCTAACCTCCGAGCTTTTAGTTCCCATAAAAGGGTAAAATAAAAGTCAGAAGTACTTTGGTATATTCGTTTGTCTCCTAATATACAATTACATCTTTCCACGGAAATACTGAATTATGCATTATCTAATAAAAGAGAGTACAGCGGTAGCACGCATAGTTCCGCGGGGTAGGTATATAAGTAATATGTGTAAAACCCGAAGTGTAGATTTACCCCACCGTGCGTCATGCCTCTCACTAATATTCCAATGCCGTAATGTACTGACATACTCAGTTCTGTAAGGAAAACACTAAATTGATCGATCGTAGAACACCTGAAGGGGGACGCCCGTCAGGCCCACTTTTGGGGTATCTTAGTAGAGATCCAACCTGCCTCTATCAGGCTTTAATTGGCGGTTTATGGTGGCCTAAGGCTCTTTTTCGGCGCAAGGCTCCTTTGCTATATCGATCGACAAATCATTGTTATTAATCACAGTTCTGAGGATACGTTAGGTAGTCCACAAACACAATTTCACCTATTTACTCTAAATAAATAACAAACATACCGACTACTTCCGCGTAATGTCCCGCTAAAGGTATGTGGATATGTACAAATAAATCCGACCCTCCTCAATATTCATGATTCTACCCGCCGCTGTACATAAACTAACACTTCTTGCGGCTAAAATGACACATTTGTCTACCCAATTTTGTTTTACAAAGAACGACAGAAAACATATTTTTTTAACCGCAATCTAACTTTAAAATATATACAAATCAAGGCATTTACCCTACTAATCTACATTTGTTTGCCATTTAAAAGTAAAACTGAAAGTGCGTTTCCTCTTTACTGAAAGGGGCACGTACTGTTTGCAGACAACCAAAACTTTACAATTCGCTCCTTTAGCCATAAATCGAAATGACTTAATTTATTACTTGAGAGTGTTGACCGACTTTACAACAATTAATATTGATGACAACAACATCACTATCGATTTTCTAAATAGTATAATTTAGCACAATATAAAAACCCTATAATTTTTTCCACAATAAACGTTTATCAATGAATACCAAAAATATGACAACAACACACAGACGCGAATTTTCCCGCTAATGAATATAAAAGTAATAAAGTGATACCTGTAACCCATCAATGTTAGTCTAAACTCTCCCCCGGAATATATGAATATTAAATACTAGTTTGATTACTTTAATAGTGCGATTATCGTTTTAATTCTACGTAAAAGAAACCTTACAGAAAAATAAGTATACCGCTGATAAAAGCGTCTACCTGGCGCAAGTTAGTCGGGTCAGCCTTAAGGGTGACGAAATCCACTACGAACGTCGCCTGGAGTAGTACTTTTAATCATTTAGTAACATTTTATAAGGTTGAATCGGAGATATAAAATATCTGGCGTTTAACTAGACTAGTGTGGTATCACCAGTATCAGTTACGCCAATATGTTAGTCGCTCGGTAGATACAACTTTACAAAACAGTTCTAGCAGCGAAATCTGGTTTTATTCAACGTGTATCTGCTTGGTCAACTTGACTATGTATCTCCTTTTACTTATATATAAAATATAAGAAAAAGGTGGTCATCCTAAGGACAACTGGATATCTATGCAGAAGCCGTCGTTTATAGAAACTAATTTATCTACTCCATTGATATCTTTTATTTCCGTTCTCAAAATATAACAAAAGCGCGGCCACCGTAAGGGTAGCGATATCTCTTTTTAATTATATTTGAAGAATATCAAGAAAAAGGAGTCACCGTAGCGGTAGCGTGGATATTTGCGTTTTTTGTTAACTTGACTCGGTGAAGATGAAAAAGCTAATCCCCAGCCCACAAAAACCCTGGTATTTATACTTAAATTTCCCATATATGCAAATGTATTGGAAAGAGAACGACTGTGAATTCGGTGCATAAAGACTATAAAGCCCTGTATTAATTCCTGAATATAGCCCTATCGTTTTACATCTAGTTTTTTTGCTAGCGTCCGTTACAGTTTACACGTCGATTTCTTTTCCCAGAAGTAATTAAACGGCGCCTACGAGTCGGGAGAAGCTGAGATGTTGTTTGAATTAAAAATAATAATTTGAATATAATATGTAATATACAGAGTGGCCCAAAAGTCTGGAAACGGCCAATTATCTCGTAAATTGCTGGTTCTAATTGAATAAAATTTGGGGTACACCTATTTTGGGATACGATGCCAGATTTGCCGTTTCTCTTAAATTAAATTCATCACCCTGTATGTTCAGTCATTATTGGAATCTCCTATACGAGTTCAACCATATGTAACACTTATGATTTTATGTAGTTTGAAAGGCCTTAAATAAATAAAATAAGTCTGGCAACGCCTAATTGTCTCAATAAATTTTTTAATACAAACTATTTTCAACTACATTAAAACGTAACAATTAAAAGATTATAACATTTTTAACATAATGGTTACTCTATCAAGTGTTTAAAATGTGCTCCATTTGTAAGTTGACAGTACCCTAATCGATGGTAGAATGCGTCTACCACATTTCTCCATGATTGTTTTATTTATTTAAGACCTTCCAGACTACATAAAATCATAAGTGTTACATATGGTTGAACTCGTATTGAATTGGAGATTCCAATAATGACTGAATATACAGAGTGATGAATTTAAAATACCAAAGTGACTAATAATAAAAGAGAAACGGTAAATCTGGCAACATTGCAAATATCAAATCTGGAATCTCCGTTTCCCATAATAGGTGTACCCCAAATTTTGTGCAATTAGGTTTAGCAATTTACGAGATAATTGGCCGTTTCCAGACTTTTGGGCCACTCCGTATAAGAATTATTTAAATTAATTATCAATTCCCGGTTGTCGGATTTCACCTTCATTTTTTTGACTTTCCACCTGTTCTGCTTCAAGTCTATAAAAAATCATTTAAGGCAAGATTAGCTATTATGCTCTATCGCCTACTTTGACAATTTTACTTTAACTTCACTTAAAATGGCTATATAATAGGGGACTTTTTATATTAATAGTTCTCGAAATCTCCATAAAACAAACAAAAATTATAATTGACGAACATCTCAATTAAATCTTTTTAATTCATTTAATTGTTCTTACTTAGACGAAACAGGATATTAATGTATATAAACAAATATTCATTAATTACCTGTAGAAAGTATTCCAGGAACGTGCTACATCGGTAACAGAAACTCCACTGTTCTTTCCTCTATAGTGCCATATTATTTAAGTACAAAGACGCTAAACACAAATGCACATGTTTGGTGGCTATAATCGCGTACGCAATAAAATAATCAATAATCCACAATAAGCTTGGGCCATGAACATTTTTGGCTTGAGCTTGAACGTAATATTAAGTCAAACGTCAAACTTCACTTCATTTGATTCTTGTTAAATTTGAATTATGTAAACCGTGCAAGTTTCCGCCCGATTAAAAGACGTTTGTAAGGCATCTTAAAGACGTCTTTGATTATTAGATTAGAAAATTTTTTATTTACAATTAATAAAAGTGTATGTACATGTCAAATTAAATTAGTAATTTACATCAGAGTCCGATGACTTTTCGTGCCGGTCATGGACCAAGGAGTATAAATCCGCCTATGGTGACAGACCCATCCGCGCTAATTTTGGTATCATTAAAAAGTGATTCATTTGATCAAAAGCTTTTCTAAATCTGTGTAAATCACATCTACTTGACCTACTGAGTTTAGAACTTTTACAGTAAGTTGACTATAGCAAACTAAATTGATAACTGCGGATTTTTTCCATCAACTCGTGCTGCTGTTTACTTATTCTGTTTTTGACAGAAGCATAAAAAATAAACTCATACAAAATTATTAAAAATAAAAAAAAATAAAAAAAATTAAAATTGTGAAGGACAGCTATGGTTCAAACAGGTAAGGAGAACAATCTCTGTTTACAAAAGTGTCCCTTGAAATGTATGAAATTAAGCGTTACTGTACCAGAAGGGCGTTTGAAAGCGCCGAAAGTTGTGACACTCGATAATTCAAATTATACCCTTGTCTTGCTTTCCTTTGCATTCCATAAATACAAGTTAAGTCGCCATTTTTAAATACATTTTTGTGGATTTCCATTTTGCTGGATATGAATTATATTTTAAAAATATAATAGAATAACTGTCAATGGTTTAGATAGAACGTTTATGCGATCCTTGACGAGGAAGCTCGAAATATTATTACAACCAGATGACTTGTTTTTTAGTTTCTCTGAAGTAATAATTATATCAAGATATAATATACCTACTATTTAAAATTTTATGAGAGATATCAACTGTATAATTGAAAAATTAAAAGGGTTAGAATGTAAGGAAACGCTGGAAAAAGGCATTTACAATTGATTGAGGATTATGGTAAACTATAATTTTATTAGATTTTTACTTTTTAAAAGACGGAAACGATTATGATACAATATTTTATATTTTTTGCAATTCTTTCTATCTATATCTTCAGGTATATAGAAAACAATCCAGTAACATTCGGTGTGCCACAAGGGTCCTGCATAGGGCCATTGTTAGTTAGTGTTTTTGTGAATGACCTATGGAATATGATCAAATATTTGCTGACGACTTGAATTTGTGTTGCACGGTCACTGATAGCGAAGATTATGAGCGTCTGACTATGAATTTAGATATAGTTACTATTATTTTAATTTGTTATATTTGACCCTCAATCGACGAATTCCAATTTAAAATGTAAATTCACCTTCTTTAATAAGAATTATTAGTTGCTGCCGAAAACAACTATTTCGAGAAATGTTACTGCATTTAAGGATCGATACGTTGTTTGGTTTAGTTAGGTCATAATCAGGCAAATACAAAAAATTCGTAAAATAAATTAAATTGAGACTGTTAATAACTACGTTACTAATTTTGTCACTGTTTTTGTTATTTTTATGTTTGATTTACTCACCCGCAAGGTAACGTTTTCGGAATCTTCATCATTTACTCCGACATCAACAAACCAATCATAGCTCAACCCCAAATCAATACACGTTTCAATAATCTTTTCGAAATTATAACTATTAACCCATTCATAAAACAACGGAGGCCATCCTCCTAACTTTTCAAATATCTTCTTTAAACTTCTATTATCATCTTCTTCGATTGCCGATGTATTCATACAAGCTGTATAGTATTTTTTCTGCTTCTTTACAGACAAGGGATCATTTTCGTTTATATTTCCAGTTGTCAATGACTTGAACTCGTTTACGACTCGCAATTGAGCCTCTTCTAAAGTGGAGGTTGGTCCTTCGTAGCCACCGCAAGCGAATTCGTAAAAGTTTTCGCAAGGATTGATGGAGTTGTTGATTATGTCGAGAAAGAATTCTGAAGAATTTACGCAGTCGGCGCTTAAGCAGATGTTATCTGAAAATTATTAAACACATTTTGAACATATTTTATTTCTCTCATTATAAATCTAACCTAAATGAGTAAACCGGTCTAGACCTGTTAATATCTTATAAGAGAGCAATTATTGCTACAACTGTCACACTAGATAGATTTTGTAACATCTCTTGTGTATTTACGATGAAGGATACTGTCAAATGCAAATTAAGTTTCCTAAACTTATACACATAGTATACTTTTATTTCAATTTTAAAATTTTCTTCATTTTTTTCTATTTAATTTAATTTATTGGGTAATTAAAATTTAACATAAAATTAAATGGGTATACAAAGATATTTTTAGATGTTCATTTTTAAAATATTTTCAATTCTTTTCAGTTGTCGTTACGTTTTATAAATATTTAACAATTTCGTGTGCACGGATTGGCAACATTAATTTTTTTTTAATAAACACATTCACGTTTTTGAAGGTTTGTGTTAGTTACATTTTTTTTTAAAGCAACTTACATCAAGTCATCGAATTTTTGAAATCATACAAATTATACGAATGTCAATATTTTTCATTGTTTTTTTGATATGTGTATTAATTGAATAACATGTTTTATTTAGAGAGGGATAGCTTTAGAATTATTAAAAATTGTAGGTGTAAATTGTAGTTTTTGTGTAAAAGTGGAATTAAAATACTTGAAATAATTTTCTTAAAATAAAATTATTCTACACTTAATGTATTAAATTAGCAAAAAAAATGGACCCATTTGATAAAACTGCAATTAAGGTGATTTTTATTAAATAATAAAAAAATCCAATTTATTGGAGATCAAGCGCGTTATACCAGACACATAACATATACCTATACAAACTTAATATTATAGATAAATAGAAAAAATTACTGTCTATAGCTTAGTTGCAGGTGACAAGAGATATATAATAAATGAAGAATAATAAGCCCGAAGGGAAAATAACAAAAACTACCCAATTTCGCCAAACAATACACTTCAGATTCACTTCTCTATACGGGAATCTCGGCTTCTATTATACTTACAGCAAATGTTAAATAGGAAAAGTTTTAGAGGAAACTTAGTGGATTTAATAACCTATTTCAGATTTACGATCGATTTTTTTGCCTGTAAATCCGAAACGAATAATTTGACAGCTGTCAAAATGTGACATTATTGGGACACTTTTTTAAGACGAATAGGATAGCGTGTATGACATGTCTCAATCGTCTTTTGTTATCCCGCAATCCGCCTCAACTTTCATTTTTCTTATGACCGTCATATTGGATTTTTCGATTTTTGGAAAGTCCGAAAAATTTCTAGTTTTGTGATGTCTCACAAGTGCCTAAAAGATTTGACTATCATCGAAATATTACACTTCGTAAAGTTGTCTTATTTTTTTCTAAGGATGCCATGATTTATTTGTCAGAAAATAAATTAGATATTTTGGGACAAATTCCCAACGGTGTGTTAAAAAAAGCAAGTCGGAAAACTCGTTGTTAATTTAATTAACACTTAAACCTTTGAAAAACCTACAAATTGAAAATTAAAATCACGACAGAAACATTTTACAAGTTGTAATGTAACTTTTTCGTAACTGGATATAAATTTACAGATTTGCAAAATGTCGTCCATTTGCATCGAAATATTTTTGACAATTAGTGAATGTTTTTCGTACAACTCTAGCAAGTGTATTTCCGTTAATGTTTCTAAATGTGTTCAAAACATTTCTATGGACGCGGGAGGATAGACCTCATGGTTTGTGTGACCCCAGAGGTAGAAATATAAAGGCGAAAGGTCAGGAGATCTAGGAGGTAAAGATATTGGACCATATTTAGTGAAATGACTCTTTCGTCAAAGTGCTCTTTTAAGAAATTCCTAGCTTGAATGGTGTTGTGATCCGGGCAACCATCCTGTTCAAAACAGGTTCTTCTAAACTCGTAAAGCCGACACAACCTGGTTTCGCAGAAGCTCTAGGTATCTTTGTCCGTTTAGGTTTTAATCAAACATAAATAGTCCTATGAGTAAATTTCCTCAAATAATTATTAATTTATAATAGGTGCCCAATTAAAAAAGGTAAGTTAGATTAAATTACCAATGACTTCACACCAAACGCTACTTCCAAATCTGGTCTGTAGACGTCTCTCTGCCACTTCGTGAGGGTTTTTCACACCCCAATGATGAGTGTTGTGCTTATTAAAAACTCCACAATTCGTAAACTTACTCTCATCGGACCACAAGATATGATTTACAAAATCGGGATTTTATTACCCTTCCTAGTATACCACTCACAGAAGCGCATGCGTATTGGAACTTCAGTTTCTTTTAGTTCTTGAACTATTGTGGGTTTGTATGGATGGTACTTATTTTTATTCAATACTCTCTGTACCGTTGATTTTGACACCAATTTCCCGTTCTACAGTTCTTACTGATGCACTAGGGTTTTCATTGACAGCTTGTAAAATGTTTCTGTTGCGATTTTCATTTTTAATATTGTGTCCACTTCTAGGTTGTTCAAAGGCCCCATGGTTAATTAAATTAACTATGATTTTTCTAAATTGCGTTTTATGAGGCTGCCGTCGTTCAGGGTACATCTCTTAATACCTTGGTGAGGTAATATCGGTGTTTCTGCGTGACTGCAAGTACAGCGCTAACATGTCAAACTTTTCGTCATTTGAATAGGGAATACCGGCCACATTTTTCAAAGGTTTCGACAATTTGTGTGACAGATTTATGATTTTAATGAAAGAAAACGTATTATTTATTAAAACACAACTTTGATAGTTTGAATTATTTAACGTCAAAGTCAGATGGAAACAATGGGCTACTTATAAAAACCCTATTTTCTGACAAATAAATCATAGCCTCCTTAGAAAAAAATGAGACCTAACTTTACGAAGTGTGATATTTCGATGATACTCAAATCTTTTAGGCACTTATGAGACATCATAAGACTGGACATTTTTCGGTCTTTCCAAAAATTGAAAATCCAATATGGCGGCCATAAGAAAAATGAAAGTTGAGACGGATTGCGGGATAACGAAAGCACAGAATAATCACTATTACAGAAATGAAGGCTTGCGTCGGCACGTTTGATGTCGGGGTGGCCAAAATTTAAAGTGACACTCGCTGACAGTTGACGTTCTTGCCGGTTGTTACACTGGTAAAAATTACCAAGATTCTTATAAATTCGGATAATACACTGAGAAAAGGATTTAAATATATGTAACAAACTTATTTAGCAACATCCACTATTTCTTCTCTGAATTGAAGGTTAGTGATATAATTAGAAAAAATAAGGCTTCACGATAATTTATTTTGAAGTAAATTGTACTGATCGCTATATTAAAAAAGAGTTTTTACTTGAGGAACCAGACCGAATGCTCGTTGTACTTAATTATTCATCAGTTTTTTTTAGATAACATTAACTCTTTAACAGAAGGATTATATTACAAATTATTGATGTATTAATTAATTGTATACTTTCCTGAAAAACACCTTCAACTGTGATAGTTGGATCTAGAAAAATAGATTAAACTAATAATAACTGGCATTAAAAATGCAAATACTTCCGAACTGTCATTTTGAAAGCCTTTTATGTGTTTTAGAACCTTATCATATGTCAATAATACCATAAACAATCCTTGTATTAAGACTTTCGCCATACTCTTATAATAATTTGACAACTCGGTGGATAAATCTGTGATTTTTACAATTCCATTTTTGTAAACAAAATTAATCTAGTAGTCGTTGGTAGAAAAGCATCACCAATAATTGGCGTATCGATTTATTACACTGTTTTACACTAGCTCAAATGGCTTTTCTTTCGAGTCTTTTGTGCAGAGTTGTCAAGTAATTGCAGCACTTCATTAACGTGGGAGTGGAGTCGACCCTCATGTTTTGCAGTAACCTCTTTTTCTTATTTGTCTGTATGAAGATAATCATTTAGATAGAGAGCCAGGGTGCATCAATGATACATCTTAGGACTTTATTTTGGAAAACTTATATTATGGCACATCCTCGTAGCTGTATTTCATAAATCCAGACGACTTAGGATTTGTTTATAAATCATATGAATTTGTTGTATACATAAATTTGCATTTTTAGATGCATAATTATTAGAACTATGAATTAAATTGAGATTTGAAGAAAAGTACTGTAGGAAAAAGGTTGTTATAAATAAAACACGTACCCATACTGACTATTAATTTTAATAAACCAAAATACGAAAAACATTACAAAAATCAGATTAATAAAAATATCAATATGAAAAATACCTACACATCAAAAGGCACAAAATTTTAGACAAAGGAATATGCCCTAGGTCCTAAAAAATACAAGGTAAGCACAAACTGCTTGTATTCATTGGAATGTCTTCTAGCTAGAGGCTTTTTGTTTTTAAATTCCGCTTGAGATTTAACTAATCTGCAAATGGTTGGTTTAAAAATTGTGGCCCAACTGAAGGATATTTTTGGGACTGGCACATGCATTATCAAAATAGAAGCAACAATATCTCTTCAATCTTCAAAGTTAGTTATTCTTTTGCTGGGACCTAAAAAAAAATATTTAAATTAAAAAATACATAAAAACAACACTTTTATATTATTTTTAATACCTGGTGTACTGAGAAAATCGTCGTGGGATTTAGTAGGGTACAGATTCATTCAGAATGATCAATTATTTCATTTGTTGTGGGTGTGTGTCAGAATATTGTCAAACATACATTTTCAAATAAACATTTCCGAGTTGATCCAAATAAAACACTACTGGGCTGGAAATGTTTTTTACACAACTGGTAGCTTTTGTGTAATTATTCACTGGTTATATTAATCAAGTCTTCTCGACTACAGGCTCTTAACAACATGGGAAACCTAAAAAAATACAAAATACATTGTCATAGGTAGATAAATATAATTTGATTTAAAAATGATAATAAAATAATTGTTTTGATTAAATAGCCAAATAAATAACATACAGTTAACATTGCTGCATTTGAAAAGTACCTCGTTTTACTCATTTTACT